GGGGGGGGGGGGAATGGCAGAAGCAACAATCAACGTTCAGTCCACGAGTCATAAAAGAGCCAAGGTTGACTACCCCTGCTCTAGAACAGTAGTGGTGAATCTATGGCATGGGTGCCAGAGGTGGCATTCGGAGCCCTCTCTGTGGGTACACGTGCCGTTGCCCCAGCTTCACCTCCCCCCACCTCACCAGCAGCCCCCCCTGGAGGAGAGTCGCCCCCGAGCGTGGTCCACGCGGAGCAGCGCAGCCAAGGACATGGCAGCCAGGCAGTGTAGACAAGACTCTGCCCTCATGCCCCATCCCGCACAGTTGATGCTGCGGGGCGCGGGCAGAGTGTGTGGCTGCCATGGCGCTGCTGGGCTGCCTGGGCAATCTGCGGCGGGCCCTGAAGGCGGTGAGTGGCCCTGCGGGCAGGGGGGGGTAGGGGATGAGGTGGGGCAGAGCAGGGGCGGGGCCAGTTTTTGGCCACTCAGTCTCTAAAAGATTCGCCATCACTGCTCTAGAACTTTTATTACATACCGTGTCTATATATATGCAAACAGGTTTAGTAGCCACTTTGGCACAAAGAGAACAGAGGCTACAACAGTCTGGGCTAGACTGTTAATTAACAGTCTGGCCCAGCCGCTGTTAATACTTTTGATTAAAATAATAATAATATTGTATTCCAATAAAAAGTGCTTCCCCCCCCTTTTTTTTTTTCCTTCAAAAAGCAACTGGACTGTTTTTCCTTGAAAGCAAAAAAGTTTTGTTGAATGAGTTTTTTCCCGTGGACCGGAGAGGGCATGGTTTCGTGTGCTGCCTGCATCCCATGGATGGGGCTTTGCTTGTTTGTGCGGACCGATGCCGGTCCACACACCGGGGGTTGGAGATGCCTGGCCTCGATATTTTCTCAGCCCTCCTCACCTCACAATATACAGGCCCTCAACGGAAGGCAGGCTGGTTGCGATTGTTTTTTCTGCAGTCCTAACTATCCGTGGAAATCTGTGTCTGTCCTGTTGGGTTGCTGTGCCAAACCAGACAGTTCTTGAGGTGCAAATGACAGACTGAAGAATTCCTCCGTAGAACAACTGTCTCAACAGATCCTCGGGCAATCGGAGCTTTCTGAGTTGGCGCAGGAAGAACATCCTTCGTTGTGTCTTTTTTGATGATGGATGGTTCTAATGTTAGGTGTCCATTTCAAGTCCTGGGAGATTATAGAACTGAGAAACTTGAAGATCTCTACTGTTGTTGATACTGTGTTGTCTAGTATTGCAATAGGAGGGTAGAATAGGAGCTATTGCTAATTATTGCTAGGAATATAGCTTGTTTAGTGGAAATGAATTATTTCATATTGCTTTACCCATCCTGTATTATCAAGAAATGATAGAAAATATAAATTTGTGAGCATGGTGAAATGTAATGGAAAGGAAAATGACTTAAAAATTGAAACATTTTGAGGGCTTTGCCCAATTCACTTAAATGTTAATTGATAATGAAGTTATCTTAAGATAAGTTATCTTATCTCTTATCTTTTTTTAACAGAACACATTCCTAGGATTTGTTTTCTAAAGCTATGTTTTTCATACAAAAATAGTGTTTTAATTTGTATTATATGGAATCATATGGACCACTGCAAGCCCAACTTGGACAGGTTTAAAAGATTAGATTAGATTAGATAACCTTTATTGTCATTTTTTTACTGTGGGCACAACGGCACACATAAAAAATGAAATTTAGTTGCCCACTCTCAAAGTGAAACATGACACACACCTAAAACATACTATATACAACATATGTATAGACCCACATCCCATGGCAAGTCCTTTGTTCCAAATACAGTAAGAACTCTGGAATTTAAAGCACCGATAAATTTATGCTTTCTCCAGAAGGAAATTAAAGTTTGATAGGTTGAAAGTGGGATAATCTATATAAATAAAAATGTAAATGTTCGTTTGTTCAAAATCTTAAATCTCCAAAAGTTCTTCACCGATTGCTTTGAAATTTTGACACAGCGTTGCATTCGAATACGCGCGTGTTTTTATATACCTATATTATATAGATGTCACACCTGTGACAGGTAAAAACATGCTTTTTTGAAAAACAGCGCCATCTGTTGGACGTAAAAGCAACACACGCTTTTACCAGACTGAGCCACAGTAACGCGTGGCTGGGTACAGCTAGTTAGATAATATTGCTAACAGTGTTATTAATTTTGATAATAAATTTAGAATACACAAATGATTGCTTCAATCACATGGCCTTGAATTTTAAGAAATACTAAATGTTTCTTATGATTTTAAAACCAAGTTAGTCCAACAAAAAATTATTTCTGGAAGTGACTGCATTCCTTCAACAGCTGTTTAAAAATAGTTCACAGTTATTCTTAAACTGGCAATGTAACAAATTTGAACAGACTTTTCATGGTGTGGTTTGGTGTTTG